CACGTGCTTTTAAAAAAACAAAACAAACCCCTAACAAAACAAAAAAACACCCAAACCAACAAACCACTTTGAAAATGGCATTTCAACTATTACATTTTTGACTTTACCAGCAGAGGAAGAACACCCACAGCTGAAAGCAAACTTTCTTTGATGTAACAATCGAAGCAATGAGAAGCTGCCCCTAGGTAGGGTATGATCAGCCTGGATCTCTCAGGTCAGTAAGGGAGCAGAGGACGTCACTTCCCTGAAGAAATCACTTCCCTGCTGACAGCTAGCAGAGGTGGTTCTGGGACTGTTCTTAGCAGAACTTTTGGAAAACTAGTGGCTGATGGACTTTGTATTGAAAATTCTGTTTGCCATGTCTCCCTGTCCAGGCTTGGCTTAATAAAGACATAAACAACAAACTAACTCCCCTCTTAGACCTATGTGTACTGCATACTCAACATATTTTAGCAAACAGAATTCCCCTGGCAACAGGAGAAATTTTAGCACAGAATGAGCATGGAGCTCCATAAGCATCATAAGAAAAACATAGTAGGTAACTAAGGCAAGAAATCTAATCCTCACATCCCTCTTATGCATGTGGTAAAAGAACTTCTTATAAAAGGTTAAAAATTACCTTGTAAAATATTAACTAGGGGTGGTGCAGCTGCTCCTCCTAATAGCTTTTGAACGTGTCTGCCAAATTCAACCTTGACAGAGAGATCGTGTTTTAGTGATGAATTTTGTGTGAAGAGGAAGCATGCAGATGAGATTGTTGGCACTCTCTGGCACTGAAGGGCTCCAGTTTTAGCCCAGATGCAGTTAAAAACTAGACAATCTACACAGACAAGATAGTTTGCAAACATGCAAAATGCGTTCCATTGTGTTCCAAAATTCATCCAGAGCTCAGGCAAATGCTTCTCCTCCATGTGTGAGTTCTCTGATGTGTAATACAAGATGAATCCTTCCTGCAGCCTTGGTTTCACTGAAGTGAGACTCACATGGCAGCTGCCCAAGGAAACCAGGGTGCACTATTCTGTGGCCTCTGCAATTACATGCTCTATTCTGCTGTAGTCAACAGCGTGATGGACTCTTCCAATACTGTGTGCTTGATCATGTTGTCTCACTATGCAAAACATTAGTATATAATGATGGGAGTTTTGCCAGAAAATTAATCCAAGAACTTGGTCCCATAATTCTTTTTAGAACATTTAAATGATACTGGAGTATTTCTCCCTTGTGTTTTAATACCTCAACTTCAGAAACCCTGTAAACATTCTGAGTGGTTTCTAGCAGGTCAGTTTCTAGCAGTAGACCTAGTCACTGGGCAGTAGTAAGCAATGCTGTGGTTTTCAAGTGGTGGTACAGCTGCATCCACATGTCAGTGTTTGGCATCAGAACTGAATGATGTTGATCTTAATGTTGAACTGAATGCTTAGTGGCATTTGATCCAGATTTGGAGTTGTCCTGTTGAATTTAAGGGATCCGACTTCAAACTGGAGTTAGACTCCAAGTGTTTAGGAACTGAAAACTGAGAATTTAGGAACTGAAACCTGGGAATTTGATACTAGTGGGATCTAAGATGCGTTACCAGTCATGGAAGTTTCCCGGCAATTGTCCTTTTGTTGTTGCTTTTAAAGTGCAAGTATTTCAAGGCCTAGTGGTCACTATGTAGCATGCATATTATAACCTTATGATTACAATACAGCAATAGTCTAAAACGTGTTTTCTAATCCCAGGAGATGACCCACCTAAGCTATCTTTCTGCAGGACCTAACCAAACAGCATCAGCAGCTCCTCTGCTCCAAATAAACCACGATCTACTTCTGAGTGGTGAGGTAACATTGTTTGATTTGATTTTTTGTTATTCCTGGCCTGCAGCTTAATAGCAAAAACACTAAATAAGCCTCATCTAAAGGGGCCATACTTTTTATGTGTGTCCCAGGGTTTAATTTCTGTTCCCACCAAAATCCAGCAGTAAAACTTCTCAAAGAAATAGAAGCATAAGCAGACCCAAAAAACACCTCTCATGCCTCCACCCAACTTGCTGACTTAAATTTTCCATGCTGCAATTTCAAACTCATAAACTCCATTGAGTTTCATGGACTTTGGACTGAAACCACTACAGAAATAAAAAATACCCGTATGCAGATGAATGTCTTTTGAAAAAAAATATTTTTTTCTTAGATTTCACATTCAAAACTTGAGCTGCACACTGCACGGTACAGGAAGAGTAGTTTGCCAATCCAATTATCATCATGTAGGTTTTATTAGTTAGGCTCTAGCCCCAAGGTGTCAAACTCAGTCAGCAGCAGGAGATGGACCCTGGGTGTAATTACAGTCAGTGACCAAGACATGTCTCCTGGGCTGCACAATGTTCTCAGTCTACACTGGAAATGCCCTGTCAGAGGGAGATTTGGAGAAATTCTTCAGGTAGATCGCAGTAGACCTTTAGTGGAAAAAAGCTGTTCCAATCAGAGATTGCTCATTTGCCCACTATATTTTGTCTTCATTCCGCTGTTTCCCAGCTCTCCCCATTTGCCCCTGCTAAATGGATCAAGCAGTGAATTTCAACCACAGTGCAATGACACAGGAAGCAAGTTTTGTGCTGGCTGATTTTGGGCCACTGCCCATCTCTTTTCTAGGTCTTTGCAACTACAAGGGCACACATAGATCACTGCAATGTGGGACAACATGTGGAGAGGGCTGTATTTTTCAAGGACCTTGTGCAGTGTTGTAGCAGGAGTCACTGTTGAAACTGCTGTTTTGAGGATGAGGGTGAGAGGACAGACTCCTTACTGGAAAGAGTAATGTAGCTGTCCTTTCCACAGCTACCAGATCTTGGTGTTAACTAGTGCTTTCCACCAAGGGATATGTTTTACTTTAAGAACCACTCAAATAAATAGATACATAAATAAATAAATAAATCTTACTTTGTGCTTTGTTAGCATCATTTATCCAAAGTCTTTGAAGAGCTTTGCCAAGCTGAGTGTTACTATTTCCTGTGTCCCAGCAACCCCAAGAGCCTGACTCTGCTTCCGTTTATATCAATAGAAGCAAGCCCAGCCCCTGAGGACTTGCCTGGCATTACAGTGAGCCAATGACTGACAGCAAACATTGCTCAGGTGCCCTAATTCCTACTTTCATGCTGCCTGCCCTTAACACCATCAACTGTACCATGATTCAAACAACAGTAAGTTCCATTAAAATAAAATAAAAATCCCTACTTGCTACATTTTCAACACTGTTTGTATAATGTCTCCAGCTTTGCAGGGCACCAGGGTGTGCTTGGTCTATTGTTGTTGTTGTTGCTGTTCATTTAACACCTTCCTTACAGCCTTCTAAGAGGGTTTTGTCACCTCCTGGGAAATTCTGGTAAACAATCTAGGCATGTAGGACTTCATGTCTGAGCCATATGCCAGCCTTCTTCTGGTTTTCCCTTCTACTGTGTTGTATGTCAGATACATTCGTGAGGAAACAAGCTCCTGTCTGTTCTTGCTGCTTCTCCTCCATGCTCCAGGTCTGACTGCCATCACCAGAGCAACCCAGCATGGCACGGATGGCGGAACAGAGAGCTGGCGCTGCCTGGAGCCAGAAAACAGCAAAAAGTGCCTGCTTTGGATGTCTGCTTGTAATTCCAACCCAGCAGAGAGTAAATGTGGAAACCTGGAGCCAGAACACTAGCTTACTTGAACACTGTGCATGGGGCATAGGTAGGTTTTTCACATTTCCAGTGCATTTAACGGCAGGAGGACTCACTTCCCTCTAAACAGTATTGATTTAAGAATTATAGAAAAGACATGATCTCATCTAAGAGGATTGGTAATGTACCTTATTTTGTGCATCTACTCTTTCTTGTGCCCTATAGAATACAACTGTTAGCACCAGTGGACAGAGAAATGCTGCCCTGCTCAGTAGATGATGATAAGAGCTGGGCGAACTTCTCATTGTATGCAGCTCATAGAACCACTAGCCTGGAAGGGAACGGTGGAGGACATCTGGTCCAGCCTCCTGCTCAAGGCAGGACAAGTTGAATAAGGTTGTTGAGGGTCTCTTTGAGTTTTGAAAATTCCTGAGGGTAATGTTTCTCTATGCAATCTGTTTGCAGAGTTCCATGTACAAGTGATGCCCATATTTTCCTCGAAGTCCAGATTCCACAGGTTCATTCCTTTTTATATCTTAATGAACAAGTGGGTTGTGTGGGTACCCATCTGTTTGTGGGTTGCCCATGAACTTCTCTCCTTCTGCCCCTCCTCTGAAAGAAGAAATTCTACAGGTGTTTGTAAGAGACACTTGGAAAGGGGAGAGGTGAGGATACCTAGGAGGGGCCACAAACAACAGAAACGAAACTGTGTTTGTGAGCACTTCCAATGACTTCTGCCCAGCTCTGATCATAACATCTACTTACATGGTGTTACACAGCATCCATCTGTGCTTTCTCTAGCTTGGTACCAGCAGCAGGCGAGGGGCACCCAGGGCACATGGCGTTCTGTACTCCAGCCTTCCTCACAGGAGTGTAGCAGCTTTGAAAATGCAGTCCCAAAACTTAAACCAAACTGCCTGTCACTCAAGCCAGAATCAGCTCAGGTGGTTTTCCTTCTTACTCAGTAGGCTCTAGTAGCCAGTAGCCTCTGCTGTTTGCATTTCCAACTGATAGAGTGCAGCTGTAGTCATCTCTGGTGTAAACAATCAATCAATAACTCGTAGGCTTCAAGCAGACTTCTTCTGCAGCCCTCTCTGAGAAAACGTGTGTGCTTGTGGGGTGGAGGACAGAAAAACTTGCTTTCCCTCTGTAAAGATGATTGAGGTCAGTCCTTGAAACACACCCAGAACAAAAAGCGTATTTAAAACTGTATGTGAAATAGCTGCCACATTTTTGTGCGGTACCCTGCTCCCCCAGAATAAGAAATTAGGGTGGATGTTGGTTGTTGTTTTTTAAATGTTCATGCGGAGGAGCTTTCTGATGCATTACGATGGACAACTGGTGGAGTCTCCCCACTCAGTCATGACAAGATCTTTCATTTCTTATTAAGATGAGCATGCAGTTCTGCTTCAAAGGCCATCTTGTCAAAGGTGCGCATGTTCGTTTCCTCCCGTACCTTTTCCCGGACATGGAAAGATGCCCGAGCAACAGACCTGGCATTTTCTAAGACAGTCCTCTTCTCCTTGAAGATCTGCTCACTTCTCTCCAGCTTCCTCTCTATAGAGAGGAGGATCTCCCGGCGCCGTAAGTCCTCGTATTGTTCCACCTTTTGCTTGTTCATCTTCTGCACTTTCTCCTTCTCCAGACGGCTCAAGACCACTTTGCGGGCTTTTTCTTGGACGGCCTCCTCGGCCACCTGGGCAGCATGCTGGAGCTTTCTCTCTGTCTCTCTAGCCAGTCCTTCTGCTCTCCTTCCCTCTTCTCTGCTGCCAGTTTAGCTCTCTGGATCTGCATGTCCTCACGCCTGGCCTTCTCCCTCAGCTCCTGGTTCCTCTTCTCCACTAGCTGCTCATAGTTCTCCTGAGCCTTTGTCAAACTCATCTTCAAGGAGGCCTTCAGCATTTCCTTCTCTTCTGCCTCTTGCTTGGCCAGTTCCTTGAGTAAGGCCTCGTGCTTCAGCTTCTCTGCTTGGTTGAACAGTCTCTTCTCCTTCTGCAGCTGCACCTCCTTCTTCAGCCTCTTCTGGGCAGCCGTGGACAGCCTTTCTTGCAGGAGCTGCTCCTCTCGCTCCTGGTGCTCCTTCTTGACCTCCTCCTTCGCCTTCAGGTTGAGCTCCTGATGGAGCTTCTTCTGTTTGTCCTCCTGGATGG